CTGAAATCTTTATTTAGTGAAACATAATGGAGTTTTATATCTGTATGTGGTAAATCTGAGCAAATCATCTAAGCATCTATCACAAACTATTGAGAACTTTAGTTGGTGCCTTGTTCCTACTTTCTTTTTTTAAAGATGAATTTTATTTTCATAGCATTTTTCAGCACAAAGAGTACAAATTAGTATAGAAATACTGTGGTTTTAAGGTGGGAAAATAAGTCAGTTGATGCAGAAGAGAGGTTAAAGATTTTTGGGTTTGCTGGTTGTTTTCTTTAAATAAAGTGTTTCAATGGCGTGTCTGGAGTGATTCATTGTAGCAGTTACTACAATGCATGTAGAGAGTAGCACACAAAATTTGGTTTATCTATTATCTAAGTAATGGATAGCACAATGTAGTATAGTTTTGTGCTGAGCAATGTTTTACTTTTAATGAAATAGATTATCAGCTCAGCAATTGGGACCTGCCTAGTGACCTTTTATGTGAATCTCTTTCAGGCACCTTTTTGGGCGTGCATCCTGAGTGCATTAGGACTCTTTATCTACCAGTCTCTGGATGCCATTGATGGGAAGCAAGCCAGAAGAACAAACAGTAGCTCTCCTCTAGGAGAGCTTTTTGATCATGGTTGTGACTCTATTTCCACAGGTAGCCTTAACCTACTGTTACTCACCCTAGTTTTTAAAAAAGTTACCTGTTTTCAAGAGGAGCTGATTAATCAGATTTGTTGAAGTGGGAAAGGACCCCTGGAGATCATCTTGTCTAACCCCCTGCTCATAGCAGGGGGCAGCATGTTCCCTTCTCTTAGGGTAGCTCCATCTCCTGGTCCCTGCAGCCAAGGCTGCCCCTGACCTTTGCGTGCCTGGCCAGTATCAGGGCAGGTATTTCAGAAGTACCTTGGGCAGATGTTGGGTAACCCACGCTCTGCTCGTACTTAGTGTGCAGGAATCCTTAGAAAGTAGGACTTGCTCAATTTTACTTACCCTAATTTAGCTGCCAGTGGCGTCTATAAAAGCTTAATGGCTGCATCGTTTGCCCTGGGAGCAGGCATGTTCCTTATGCCTCGCTTCCCAGAGGAGTGCAGCTACCAATCTCTCTGAGCTGGGCCCTTCAGGTGAAGCTGTCAGTGTTGCAAAGAACATGAGGTGACCAAGCCAGAAGAAGGGAAAACAACCACTGGAAGCTAGAAAGTGGGGCCCTTGCTTGAAAGCAAGAGTCCCATGTTTTGGTCTCTCCTGCCAGGACTGTCCCTGAGTAGAGTATTAGTCATGTCGTTACTTTGTTATGCTGATGTATAATGCCTTGTGATTCTTTTATTTCTATTAACTGCAAGCAAAGAGGGTGTATGACTAATGTGTTCATTTCTGCTTTTCAGTTTTTGTTGTCCTTGGAGCCTGCATAGCAATTCGACTAGGAACAAATCCTGACTGGTTGTTTTTCTGTTGCTTTGTGGGACTGTTCATGTTCTATTCTGCTCACTGGCAGACATACGTATCAGGCATACTAAGGTTTGGAAAGTAAGTAGGAATCTTCAGAAGTGCATGTGGCTTAATGTCTGAGACTGCTAGCTACTTCATTTCTACTTCTTGGTTTTTTTTCCCTGCTGCTCTTCCCCTCACTTTCTTCCTCATCTCCCTTCTACCCTAGCAGACTTGTGTTTTACCTGGCAAGAACTTTAAAACTCCGCATGATACTGAATAGAGGACTTGTTCTTTTAGCAGGTGATTTTAGCTGTGTGTGCTTTGTTTGCATGCGCTTGGCTCCTTTGTCTGTGGATTTGTTCTTGGAACCTGTACAAGCACCGTGCAGGCTCAGGCCAGAGAGATCTTGCCTGCTGTGTAAACAAGCGCTCTGTGTAGGAGTAGGGACAGAGCAAGCATCTATAGTAGTACCTCCCTTTGTAATCTCCCAGCCACAAAACAGTTTCAGGCCAGGGGACTCTGAACCACATGCATTTTTAGAGAAATTCCCCTGGTTTTCCTTCCACAGACCTCTTCAGTCTTCCTTCAAACCAACTGCATCCTTCAGCAAGGAGTTCCAGAGAACTACGGCAGTGCCTGAAGAGTCACCCCAGGGTTTATGTGAGGGATTTCCTTTTAATCTGGCTCAAACTGGCTTTGATGCCCTGTAGGTTCTGTGTTGGGTCACAGCTCCAGAGGTTGCTGTGATGCTGTTTGGTAGGCTTGGTAGAAATTTCATCTGTTCTCCCTGCAGTTTAGCAGGAAGAGTAACAACATTCATGCGGAAGATAACAATTTCAATTTAAGTCCAAGTAGTATGGTGATTACTGCACCCTCCTACAGGTGTGCTGCCTAGCCATGGCCTTTTGCTGTTTTTAAACAATGAGCTGCACTTTAATAATGATCTCTGAAAAGAGGAAAAGATTGGAGGCTTCTGTAGTAGCAGAATTAGCAATATGTGATAGAGGAAGGCTGTCTTTCTGATAATCCTAGTCACTTGCTAAGTCACCTGTTCATAGTCCTACTTAGCTCTGATGTGCAAGCAGCACCCTAGCACATCTGAGCATCCCTGGGCACACAGGCTAGCGATCAGCTGTCCTTGTGTACTGTTCAATGTCTGCACCAACAGAAAGCTGTCTCTGTGGTAATGCTAAGAGCTTATTTGCTCATAATGGATGTTACCACGCAAACTGTAACTCTTCTACCTACCTACCTATCCTACTTTTTAAAAAAGACATTGTGTGCTGTAAACAAAAAGAGATGCTTTAGAGTGAAGGCTGAAACAGAATAATTTCTGTGCATGACAGTGGACTACACTGAAGGAAGATGGACTATGCCATGAGCTCTGGGATTTTGCATACATGATTGCTTTCCTGTGCCTTTTGTTCTTGTATAAAATGTGAGGGTTATTTCCTTACATCAGGAAGGCACTGAGACTCCTACACCACATAAAAATTTATTCACTAAAAACTTAATAGCTTCTATGTAAACATAGTGATAGTACAAGCAGTTCCTTGCTTACTGTTTGAAGTTAGACAGACACAGCTTTTCTCCAAGATAACTTATTTCTGTTTGGTGAAAACAGGAGAGTTTTTTCAAGGCTTGCAAGTTTATTTCTCTTAAGCATAGAGGTGATTCTAAACGAAGGCATTAGCATATTGCTCTAATTATAATACATAAAAACATGGATGGAAGCTTTCATTGATGTTGTTCCTGAATTAGCAGCACTTGATTTTAGAAGTCAGACAGACAAGAGAGTGCTGGTGCTGACGGCCAGGAAGGATCAGAGCAGCTGGGTGCTGTGCCATTATGTAGAATATCCCACAGTGTCTGATTAAAATCTTTGGACTCTGATTTGGGTTGTGTTGCAAGCAACAGTCTGAGCCTCTGTAGAATTAAGTACTAAACTTTGACACGTATACTTTGGCACTCAACTTCAAGTTTGAGCCGCCTCCCGCCACCAGCAACAGCAAGTGCAGTACATCTTAGAAATCTGGGGTTTAATAGTACAGAGTGCAAACTCAACACTTGCATGTGGACACTTTTGCGTGCTGTAACTGCCAAGATCAGTGTGCAGCTGCAGCAGTGATGAGGCAGATGTAGCACCACATCCCTGGTAGAGAGGGAAGAGCCCACTCCCAGCACCACTGTCCTGTTCACCCCCTGCACAGACTCTGTCACTTGTCTTCAAACCAACTGATGAAATGGGCAGAAGACTAAGAGCCAAGCCTAGGCTAGCAAGCTGAACAGGTTCATCTTCCCGTCCTACTGCAAGTACAAGTGAGGGAGGAGAGGAGTACCCATTCTAGCAGCTTTGGGCGATGACGAGCACCTCATCTTACCACCTAGTTGCTGCTTTAACTCTGGCTCTTCTAAGACTTAGAATCTTGTGATAAAACCTAGCGAATTTTTATCACTATCTTTCCGATGAAATAAGAGGTTCCTGTTACTATGATTATCAAGATCAGATAAATGTTTTCCATTAGCCAAGAGCTGATTCCTATCTCCTTTTAAAAATAGAGTTTCCTGTGCAAACAGTTCATGTGCTAAGCAAGTAATGGTACATGTTGACTTTGGTCATAATACCTTAAAAGAACAAATTTATTCTAACTGCTAAAAGAAATGTATTTTAAACATTCCTTGTCACACTTTGCTGGTAACTTCAGTACAAAGATCCAGTACCTGTCTCAAAACCTTTGGTGGCATAAAGGGTACCTTTGATGTGCACACTTGTTTATTTTAAAGCTTTGTTGAAATTATTGACTCTTTCTAACTTTTTTTAATGTATTCATGTCTTCTCAAAACATTTCAGCAATCAAATACAGGAAGAGAAGAGCTGGGCTATCTTGTCTGAGAACAAAAACAGTGGAACATAGGAGGCATACAAGGCCACCTATTTAAAAAAAGTGTTTCTGTGAAAAAAGCAAGATATAAATTAGATGACCTCTGAAACAGGACAGGTGCTTAGCTATTTCCACTGACTCAGTCCTCAGAATACATCCCTTATGTTTTGCAGGCTGTATCTGTCAGGTTTTCCTGATGTGGTGGCTTAAAGAAATTCCTTCTGTCTCAGCCTGTTCTTTGTGCTCCATACTTTTCCATTAAAAGAATATAATGTAAATGTTTGATTGCATTTACTGTCACCTTGCCTTAAACTTTGATTTGATGCTTGCCCACAGTGAGTCCGTAAATTTATAAAAAATTCCCAAATAGTTAACAATGTATCCATTGAAGATCTTCCCTGTAGTAAAATTATACGTGGCTTGCTCTAAATAAGTATAGGTATAATTTTAAATCTTAACCAAAGATGTGTGTCTCCATGTAGAGTATCATTTTCAGTCAAGAAAAATCATATTCTATATACGTTGATGTAGTTTGGAGCACTTTTAAGGAGATAAAGTCACTGTTCTTTTATTCTGCCCCCCTTGCTGCCTTATAGCAATAAGACACTTTCTTTAGCTAAATCTCCTTTTTTTTTTTTCCCTTCACAGAGTTGATGTAACTGAAGTTCAGATAGCCATAACGATGCTGCTCTTGATATCTGCGTGTGGTGGCACAGCAATATGGGACTACAAGGTAAGTGTTGGAAGTATTGGGAGTTCCTGCGTAGTTTTCTGTGCCTGTTAAGTGCTCGCAGTTCCTGTGGTATTTGAAGCTGTCCTGTGCAAGTACCATCAACACCTACCGGTTGTGTCGTGTTCTGGTTTAGCTTATTGTACAAATGTAGGGATTTTTGTGTTGTAGTTAACTTCGGTATATTGGTGTGACTTCCTTTGGGCAAATTTAGAGCTACGTAGAGGAAAAAAGACCCCATCTGCCACATACAAACTTCTAATCTGGAATTAATACTCTGCAGATACTTAAGCTTTAACAAATAGCTTTTGTTCTCGTTTTATTTCTCTTGTATATTTTATTGTAAGACATACATTTCTGCTCAGCTAGATTATTTACAGGATGCTTTATTTTAAAATTTAAAGATTAAATGCTTTTATCTATCAAAACTGGGATGAAGTTAGGGGGGTTTTGGTTAAGTAATCCATATTTACATGCTGATGGAGATGTACTGATTTTTAACAGTTGTCAGAGCCGGCATAAATGTAAATATTTATATATAAAGAATTGTTTTCTGTCCGAAGGCATTTCCGTATCTCTGGCTTTTATTCTGATCTTTAAAGATGCTCTTTAGTGCGTGGGATGGAAAGTATGTTAGACTGAAGGCTTCATCCTTTCTAGGGTCTTTACTCAGAAACGTATAGAGAAGAGCTGAGACCCTTCCATGCTATTGATAACCAATGCAAATTAATGTAAACCACCAAGCAATTCAAATTAATTCATGAGTTTACTCAGCAATAAAGAAATGTTTAGCTAAACTTTTGTTTTCTATCCCCATCCTGCAAAACACTTTGGTTCTGTTTTCAAACAGCTTGTTTTCATGTTGGAAAATAAAGTAGGTGCATTAGACTTTAATTATGATTAATTTTTCTTCAGTATTAAAATGTGTGGTGGTTATGCTGTATCTCAAAACAATCTATATTAAAAAAATACAGTCAATGCTTTCAATTTATTACTACTTCTTTTTTTTTTTTAAATCCTCTGCTGCCTTTGGAAGTTTCCTTGAAACTGCAATTGATTCTGAAAGGTAACTGTTTATTAAAATTTGTATCTGGAGACTATTCTAAATGCAAAGATACAGCATACGAGTAACGTGTACCAAAACACAAAGCAGGCAGATGGTGTTTGTGTTTCCTGTGGTTCAGCCTTGTGTTACCCACTGAAATAGAAGTTGTCCTTCTCCCCACTCCCGTGCCTTGGTGATGCAATAGCCTGTGTCAAGTTTGTGCTCATGTAGTAAAAATTGTATTTGAAGAACATCGCAGGGACGAACACAGTAAGATCCAGTTGAATTTCAAGGCCAGAACTTAAGTACTTGGAAGTTGAGTTTAAATATTAAAGACAAATTTGTCGTGTCCTTAGGAAGGAAATAAATTTCAAACACACTCTTT